GCCGTTTTTTTGCCCTCTGGGGGCTTCAGGAGGGTTCCCTAAAGCTTCCAGAGGGCAAAAAACATCCCAATACACAAACCGGAAGTCAGAAAATGAGCCATTTCCAACCTCTGGGGAGGAGGCAGTTTTCACCCTCCCCAGGCTCCGAGAAACCTGTGCATGCATGCGCAGGGCAACGGGGAGATCGTGCACGCATGCACAGAGGGCACAGCGAGGGGGCATTAAGTTATGGGGGTGCTTTTGACACCCAAGATGAAAAAGGTTCACCATCACTGGCATAGACATACATACAACATACATTGTTGTAAGTGACCATTGACCTGTGTGTAGCATATTGTAATGCTTTTGATGGCAATCATGGTAGGCTATCTCTTAAATAGATTTTGCAAAATGTAACATCATCTACAGCATGATGATGTATTTGAAAAAAAGTTATATGAGGTAAACAGATGTGCCCCCCAAAATACAAGGAGCAATGTACATAAAATACATATATGATGTATCACTAATTTTCCTACTAAAAAACTGAATTAATAGGTCATGTCCAGTCATGTCCATCATACAGATAATTCTCCCTTATCAGTGATAATTAGGACTGGAATTTCTGTTACTAAGTGATGCGGTCATGAAGTTCAACATCACATGACTATCCCTAAGTGAATCCCATGCCAGTGTTAAGTGAGGATGGCCGGTTTCCCTATTGACGTTACTTGTAGAAAGCCAGCAAAGAAGGTTACAAATGACCACAGAGATGCTATTAACATTTTAATTGCAAGGATTGGTCATAAGTACCACTTGTTCAATGCCTTTGTAAATTTGAATGGTTGTTGAATGAGTGCTGGTTCACTAAGGGCTTCCACCTGTTGTTTTTTATTATACACTGCAACTTAGTAAATACTAGTGAAGTAACACAATTTAATGACTTCTGGTTACAAATCATACTGACCATATTTAAGATTTCATTGTCCCATTATAGCAGAATATAGAATATATTGTCTTACTAGAGACATGTTAAACTCTTTCTGTCCCTTACACTTGTTATCAGTATCAATGCAATTCCTTGAATTTTTCTCCCTGTAATGAATGTTAACATGTTTTAAGCACTTGGTACATTATGTTTGTGTGTACAGACTATCCTTCACATTTAAATTTACCAGTAGATAATCCCAATTGAAATCCTATGCATTATATGTATATGTATAATCTTTATTATCATACTTAACTACAACAAAATTGGTTATCTAGGAAAAGGTGTCCAAAGATGTGGATATTCTGAAATACATATGTGAAAATATACTTTTGCTTGTTTTACACAATCCCTAATAGTATTTACCCATTAGTATTAAAATTATGCTATAATACTCTTCCAATATTTTATTAAGCATCCACTGCATATTATATATAATGACATCTACGTCTGGCTATATTTATGCTATGTCCATTCAGTATTTAAAATACAGTTAGCAATATCAGGGCATGCAGTCTTAGGAGTCCTAAGCAAAAAAAGCAAATGTCAGGGAGGAATGTCAGGAAAGCCAGTGTTGGAGAGAAAAAACCCAAGATTTTCAGCCTCACGGGGAACAGAGAAATATTTATTCTCCATCTTTTCTTGGTGAGCGTCTCTAAATATTGCTTACATTCATGACATAATTATCTGTGATCCAAGACTTTAATACCCTATGGATCTAGTTAATATCTGCAAGGTGTTCCTTGTACATATTTCATACCCTAAAAAAAAAATTTAGTTGGGAAGGAAGGGTCAAACAATGAAACCTTAGATTTCCTCCAATGTGGATAGACCCAAAGAGGGGTCCCAAGCCTCTGAGGATCACAGGATATTGCCCTATGAAATAATGACTTCATGGAATTGTGCTTTTGTAATTAATCATATAAACATTAATTAATAATATAAACATAGATAAACATAGATATATATTCAAATAGATAGCATAAAGTTAAATAAATTTTATGCTATAAAGGGTTCAGAAGTTAACCTCAAATTGAAACAGCCTTTCCTCTGAGAGCCTGGTGGTCTTCCCCCTGTTTGCATTTTTCTCAGGCATTATTGCCAGGACATTACTGAAGCCCAATATATGAAGTACTTCAACCCCACTGGATGCTATGAGTATTCTTAATTGTATTTTATATTGTTTTTTATTTAATTTTTTTAATTAAAATGGTTTCATGTATTCTTTGTTAGGCAACCAAAGATTCTTAAGATGAACTAAAAGATGATTAAATATTTTAAATGAATAAACTATATGCTATTTTAATGAACAGCAGAGGGATGCAGTGCTCACACAAGATCCCAAACATAATTTCTGAATCATTTTTTATACCAACTGCTATAGTACATATTATCAGGCAGATAATATCATATTATCAGGCTTTATCAGGCAGAAAAGAAAAGTCATTACAAAACAATTTCAGTATCTCCTGTATATCAGGAGGAAGTCCTAGGAACAAATCTTTCTGGGGCAGAAAATAATAGTTTCTATCTCTAAATTATTTTTATATCCCCCCCCCCAAAAAAAAAGATAATATGTGTAGAATTTAAAGGCATAAGGGATTTGGGGGAGTTGGTATGCCAAGTTTGAAATATTATGATGCCTTTCAACTAAGATAATATTATTACTCTTTTCCCCGAAAATCATACCTCCCTGGATAATAAGCCCAATTGGGCTTTTGAGCCCGTGCACTAAAATAAGCCCTCCCCTGAAAATAAGATCTCCCCGAAAATATTGCAACACAGCAGCAACCATGAGATGACCTCGCTCGCCATCTCCTGCACCTCAAAAATAATAAGACCTCCCCGGAAATAAGGCCAAGCGCTTATTTCGGGGATCAAAAGAAAATAATACCGTCTTATTTTCATGGAAACATGGTAGGAACATAAATGATGGTCTCTGAGTACAAATTGAATTAGTGTTAAGACTTTATCAATTAGAACATAACCATTGCTTTCTGGTGGATTAACAAATATCTCCAAACTTTATTTAAATCTTTTTTCAGCCCTTCTTTAACAGGTGTCAATGCATCTTAAAAAGAGGTAGGGCTTCAATCATATGGTTATAACCACAACTCCCAAAATCCCAATGTCCTTACCCCAAAATACCTAGATGTTTTAAATTTTTACTAATACTCAATATGCAATCAGTTTTAATATTTTCTTAGATATTTCATGTTTTAAATATAAGGCTATGTTTACTATTGGGTATACTATTGTATATCAATTTCCCATTGTTTTTACATGGGTAGGATATAAAATAAACATGTAACATTTCACTACATACAGTGGGGCAAAAAAGTATTTAGTCAGCCACCAATTGTGCAAGTTCTCCCACTTAAAAAGATGAGAGAGGGCTGTAATTGACATCATAGGTAGACCTCAACTATGAGAGACAAAATGAGAAAACAAATCCAGACAATCACATTGTCTGATTTGAAAAGAATTTTTTTGCAAATTATGGTGGAAAATAAGTATTTGGTCAATATCAAAAGTTCATCTCAATACTTTGTTATATATCCTTTGTTGGCAATGACAGAGGTCAAACGTTTTCTGTAAGTCTTCACAAGGTTGGCACACACTGTTGCTGGTATGTTGCCCATTCCTCCATGCAGATCTCCTCTAGAGCAGTGGTGTTTTGGGTCTGTCGCTGGGCAACACGGACTTTCAACTCCCTCCAAAGGTTTTCTATGGGGTTGTGATCTGGAGACTGTCTAGGCCACTCCAGGATCTTGAAATGCTTCTTATGAAGCCACTCCTTCGTTGCCCGGGCAGTGTGTTTGGGATCATTGTCATGCTGAAAGACCCAGCCACGTTTCATGTTCAATGCTCTTGCTGATGGAAGGAGGTTTGCACTCAAAATCTCACAATACATAGCCCCATTCATTCTTTCCTGTACACGGATCAGTCATCCTGGTCCCTTTGCAGAGAAACAGCCCCAAAGCATGATGTTGCCACCCCCATGCTTCACAGTAGGTATGATGTTCTTTGGATGCAACTCAGCATTCTTTCTCCTCCAAACACAGCGAGTTGTGTTTCTACCAAATAGTTCTACTTTGGTTTCATCTGACCATATGACATGCTCCCAATCCTCTTCTGAATCATCCAAACTTCAGTAGCAAACTTCAGAGGAGCCCAGGCACGTACTGGCTTAAGCAGAGGGATACGTCTGGCACTGCAGGATCGGAGTCCCTGGCGGTGTAGTGTGTTACTGGTGGTAGCCTTTGTTATGTTGGTCCCAGCTCTCTGCAGGTCATTTACTAGGTCCCCCCATATGGTTCTGGGATTTTTGCTCACCGTTCTTGTGATCATTTGAGATCTTGCGTGGAGCCCCAGATCAAGGGAGATTATCAGTGGTCTTGTATGTCTTCCATGTTCTAATTATTGCTCCCACAGTTGATTTCTTCACACCAAGCTGCTTGCCTATTGCAAATTCAGTCTTCCCAGTCTGATGCAGGTCTACTATTTTGTTTCTGATATCCTTCGACAGCTTTCGACACCATAGTGGAGTTTGGAGTGTGACTGTTTGAGGTTGTGGACAGGTGTCTTTTATACTGCTAACAAGTTCAATCAGGTGCCATTAATATAGGTAATGAGTGGAGGACAGAGGAGCCTCTTAAAGAAGAAGTTACAGGTCTGTGAGAGCCAGAAATCTTGCTTGTTTGTAGGTGACCAAATACTTATTTTCCACCATAATTTGCAAAAAAATTCTTTCCAAATCAGACAATGTGATTGTCTGGATTTGTTTTCTCATTTTGTCTCTCATAGTTGAGGTCTACCTATGATGTCAATTACAGGCCTTTCTCATTTTTTTAAGTGGGAGAACTTGCACAATTGGTGGCTGACTAAATACTTTTTTGCCCCACTGTACTATATACATGTTGCATATTTTCTAGAACAGGGGTGTCAACTTACAGTCCGCGAGCCGGATGCATCATGTGCTGGCCACACCCACCTCTGATTTAGCAAAGGGAAATTCCCAATACATCATATGATGCGACAATGTGAGTGTGACACCCCTGCTCTAGAATCTCAAGGAACTTTGAGCTCTGTTAGCCTGAAAGGAGGTAATTGGCTCAAATACACCAGCTGAGCTTCAGGCTAATGGAACACCTAAATGCTGATCTTCTTGGTCTTAAACCTATACATTATTTAACACACTATCATAGCATAGTCTTAATCTATCTCACACGGCTGCATGATAATAAAATAAATGATGCAAGCTCCCTTGAACTCATTAAAAAATAGGAGTAATAACAACAGCCCTTAGTTGTGTTGTAATAACTAAAGTTCTATTGCTGATCTTTCTGTGAAAGAGTTTTGTCAATATGAAACAGGCCCCATACTTTGAAAATATTTTTATCTAACTGACCTTTTTGTTGCACATTTAGAAAGTTTGATATTTAAAGAAGGGGAGAAGAAAATAAGAACTTAATCCACCCCCACGATACCATTTAGTTATGCCTTCTAAAAACAACAGTTTTATAAAATGGGTTATTAATTTATTTAAACAATTATTATGGAGGTGAGAACTTGGATTTACTGTCATATTTTTATTTGAGAAGTTTAATTTTCTACTTAGAATTTGCTACATTTGTACTTTGAGGGGTTTGTGCAAGTATTCTGAAGAAGATTATTTGCACTATATGAGAGCACACATGAAGCAGCTTCAACTGGGGAAAACAGGAAAGATAACTATTAAGAAATCTTAAGATAAAAAGGACTGTGGTTTTCTGTTGCTCTCACAGACTGTAAGTATTCAGCAGTCCTGCTTTCCAGTAGAGGATACCCTGGACAGTTTGCCTCAGCAGAGTGTTCTGGGATCGCTATTGTTCGTCGTAGAGCTATTGATGCTAGCCATAGTTTGGAAGAAATTAAAAAAGAACTGGAGTGACCTATGCAAAATAATAAAAGTTGCTTGCGGCAGAGCATTTATTTTTTACAGGCACAAATTAAATGCATACAGCAAGCAGAATCCCAGATTCTGGTTTGGTCCCTGGAACTGGAGTTTGATCAGAAAGAGATGTTAAGAAATAATTGATGAGAGGCCAAAGCAATGAAAAATTGTAAAACAAATTCTTGCCGTGGGACTCAAGTAGCATGAAACTTCATCATGTGAACATTCTAGGAATTGGGTCACTGCATGATTATCCCTTATCATACTTCTGTGTCTTAGCTTCTAGTTGTATCACGGCTCCCTCCTTTTTTCTCTTTTTGAAGTTTGGTTAAGTGAACTGCTTTAATATGGACTATATGCCACTTCAAATTCCAAAGCTGATGGAATTTGCCACCAGTGCACAATGATTTTGACATCATTAACGGATAATTGAAGTGCAATGTATAAATCACTTCAAAAATAATTAAGGGGGGGGGGGGGCTGACGAATCAAGAGAAGTTAAATAATGAAAGCAATGTTATGCCATTGTGCTGCAAGCCCCGTTATTTTTGTTCATGCCCTGTGATACACACCAATATAGAAGGACAGAGCTTGCAGCAAAATAGTGCAATGTTGTTTTCATTATTATTTTTTCAAAAGTATTGGCTTCCTTAATTCTGCCTTTTTTCAGTTTCTTTAGGCAGCATGAAATTGAGCTTGATGGATTTTTTTTACAGGCAAACTAAGCTGAGAAGTTCACTTGGTTCGTCGTTTTATTTCTCCTTCAGAGAACTATGAAATATTTGTGCTTATTATTACTATTATAAAAGATTTGAGATGTTTTATATTGCAGTAGAAGAAGAGCAAAAGAGTCAGGCTGCCTTCTACACATGCTTCTCCTTAGTCCCATACTATCACCTCAGAAAAAAAGAACAACACAGCTGTTATTAGTCAATTCTTTTCTCCTCCTAAAAATAACACATCCAGGACACAACACTTACTTGGTTTGTTTTAAAGAATGTGGATAAATATCAGCATTATAAGCATTCAACAGAAAGCATATAGAGGTTACCCCTATTGACTCTTGGGGACAAATTGCACCATCTTGTATTTAAGTTTTCTAATATATATATTTTAATAAATAAGACACAATGTTCTAGTTACCAATTATATCCATAACCATTCATTTTAGATGTTTTTGATGAGGTGACAAGAAAAGAACTTTGCACAGACACTTACTGCAAAGTTTGTGGGGCTATACTGCAGTTTGAATCGCAACGAATAGCACACTATGAGGTAAGCTTTAATACAGAACATATCAATGAGATTTTGCCACCCCATGGTTTCCCAAATATGGAGGATTCTCCTTTTACTGACTAAGATACTTGTTTCAACGAATCAGGTTTCTTTTAAAAAAAAGCCTAACTGTGTTCATTGAAGAACTGTGATACCTATTAAACAAAAAGCTACTGGCAGTCATTTCATTACCCAACAGATCTCATCAAGCTGGCCTTTAATTTAGAAGCCTTCTAATCTGGAATGTTTTTTAATGCCTTACATGAACAAAAAATGTTTTGATTTACCTAATACAGGTAGTCCTCAACTTACAACCACAACTGAGTCCAAAATGTGTGTTACTAAATGAGACATTTGTAAAACGAATTTTGCCCTATTTTGCAACTTTTCTTACAATAGTTGTTAAGTGAATCAGTGCAGTTGCTAAGTTAGTGACACAGTTGTTAAGTGAATCTGGCTTCCCCATTGACTTTGCTTGTCAGAAAGTTGCAAAGGGGTGACATGACTCCAGAACACTGCAACTGTCATAAATATGAGTCAGTTGCAACTTAGCAACTAAGTATCTGAATTTTGATCACGTGACTATGGGAATATAAGTAAATATGAAAAACAGCAATAAATTCCTTCTTTCAGCACTGTTGTAACTTTGAACAGTCACTAAATGAAGTGTTGTAAGTTGAGGACTGCCTGCATTTATTCCCTTACTTTGTCCAGTGGCCCTACCAGAATAAAGCCATGAAATTCAAACAAGTTATTATATGGAAGCTGCCTCTGAAACATTATCTCTTTCTCTAAAGTTTACCAGTTGAACCCTAAGTGTTGTCTGAAAATCTGTAGCAATAAGTTAATCTGCTTATTTTTAAAATTAAAAATTAATATTTCTCTCTTGCTATACTCACGGTACTAAGGTTGGTTTATACAGTTTAAAAGCAGCAAAAATCAATAATATAGCAGAATAACAGAGTTAGAAGGGATGTTGGAGTTCTTCCAGTTCAACCCCCTTCTCAAGCAGAGTTTTCTTCTCAAGAAAACCCCTATACCATTTCAGGTAAATGTTTATCCAATCTCTTCTTAAAAACTTCCAGTGTTGGAGTATTCACAACTTCTGGAGGCAAGTCATTCCACTGATTCATTGTTCTCACTGTCAAGAAATTTCTCCTTAGTTTTAGTTTGCTTCTCTCCTTGTTTAGTTTCCATCCATTGCTTCTTGTCCTGCCCTCAGGTGCTTTGGAGAATAGGTTGACCCCCCTCTTCTTTCTGCCAGCTCCTTAGAACAGGAAGACAAACAGGTGGCATTGATCAATCCCAATACAAGTGCTAAGTATAAAATAATCCTTAACTTGGCATTTCAGATGGCGAACTGCATAACCCTCCATTATGAATTGACAAATAATTTTGCAATTAGAAACTCAGTATAATATGTTGCCATAGCTATGCTTCTATTAATAACCTCCAATGCAGCACCTGGAAGTCACCCAATCTAGCTGTAAATCACTGGGCACTGAAATGTCAGATTAAAGGCTCTGCTCCTAGATGATGTGTATCTTTACACAATTGTTTTTACATATTTTTGAAGGCTTGCTTTGATATAAAATTGACACTTTTGCTTTTCAGGGCAAAAGGCATGCACAAAAAGTACGGCTTTATTTACAAATGCATAATGAACAAAAGGACAGGCAGCATATGAATTTCCAGGTAAAGTTACCCCATTTACATCAATAGGATGGATTACGTATGGGACACAGAATTTGTGCCTTGTAGTTTAATTTTATCTGACCCTGGCATTATCTGAGGCTGAGTCATGACAGAGAGAAAGATAAAAGATCCCTCATATAAAACTGCTAATCCAGCTCACATTTACCCTAATCTTGTTTCTCTTTACTGTAGACTCAATTCAGTTTTCTCATAGGTCAACACATGTTCCTATGATAAAACTAGTTAATGGTTGAAAAGAAAGAAAGTATCATTTTCTTATTTAGAAGATGTTTTAATTCCATCCTGCAGCCAGCCATTCTTGGTCTCTTGATCATCATGAGTGAGAGGGGGCGGGAATGGATGACCATGGTAAATTTATCTGTGGACAAATAGAACTGGTGCCTAACTTTGTTGGGTGTCTTCAAGCAGGAGCTGGTTAACCAAATTATCCAGAGATGCTTTATTTTAAATTCTTACCCAAAGCAGAATTTCACGCCCTAAAAGTTCAGCCAATGCCTATTGTTATAATGAATTAAATAGCTTTTCATTTTGGTTTCAGAAGAATCCAAATATGGACAAAAATATGTATTGCAAACTTTGCAACATGGTCTTCACATCTCCAGTTGTTGCTCAATCACATTATTCGGGAAAGATTCATGCCAAGAAACTGAAGCAGTTGTCAGATCAGACTCAGACCATACAGGATGTTCAATCAGAACATGGTAAAGATCTAATAATTAATGCATTCTCTTTTTTGTCAGCTATTTTAGTGAGAAGATGCCATGTGGATTGCTTTAATCATAGTATCAATGCAGCTGAAGAACAAATCACATTAAATGTCCTTATTTTAGTACTCTTACATATTTCTCTTTTTTCTTTTCCCTTTGTCATTTCATACAGTGCAGTAAGAAAGGAAAGAATCAGTAACTTACCTGAACAACTTACAGGAGACGCTATTCACAATAATTTGTCAGCCAACAAATTAGATACACATAAAAAGATGGGTTAATTTTCTTAGAGGCAGTCTAAGGGTTCCTTAAAAAGTCAATTCCCAATTCTGACAAGTTGACACTTTTTGTTCTGATTGTTTTCCACAAGGAAGCTAATCTTTCTGCCTGGCCCTTTTTCACAGATTCCTCTGCAATTCCAATTCTGCCAGAGGCATCTCTTGAAAAGACCTTGCAACAGGATGTTGATTCTGAGGACCTATATTCATCCTGTAGAACTTCTTTGGATTTAGATGATCCGGATAAATATTGCAAACTCTGCTCTGCATCCTTCAACAACTCATTTATGGCCCATCAACACTACGTAGGCAAAAAGCACAAAAGAAATGAATTACGTAAGAAATTGGTGGCTGAAATTGGAACTCAGGCTATCCCCCTGGAGTCCAAAACCAATGGTAAGCAGCATCACAATGAATATTCCCCTTTATATCAGGTGAGCATGACTCAAAACCAAGGTATACCATCAACCTTTTCCTTCCACATGCTGGCCCTAGTTGGATATCTTCCTTTCAGAGCCCAGTGACTCTGGTGCAGTGACGTGCGGTGAGGTTTATGGCTGGTGAGGCAGTCTTCTCCCCCGACATCCCACTGTCTAAAGCGCTTCCTTTCTGTCGCCCACCTGAGTTCTGACAGGCAGGCGAAAGAAAGCGCCAGTCCGCCGCTGGCTTTCTTTTGCCCGCCTCTATGTCAGACATAGCGGTGGGCAAAAGAAAGCCAGCGGCGGGCTGCCGCTTTCTTTCTTTTGCCCAGAGGCGGCAGCCCGCCTGAGCTGCCCGCCTCTGGGCAAAAGAAAGAAAGTGGCAGCCCACCAGCTCGCCTGAACTGCCCGCCTCTGCGCAAAAGAAAGTGGCAACCCACCAACAGAGGCGGGCAAAAGACCTCCCTCTGCTGGCGGGCTGCCGTGGACACAGAGAAAGAAAGCTGGTGGGCTGCCCTCCCTGCCTCTCCCCCCCTTCCCTCTCTTCACTCTCAAACAAACTCTCAAATTGAGAGAGTGTTTGTTTGAGTGAAGAAACAAACACATGCACACACACACACACAAATTACTTACAATTACTTACAAATCACATTAATTTTGAATTCCTCCCTCCGACCCACATACCTTTTCCAGATGTTTCACAGAGGATTTCAACTCTGCTCTTGCCTGCCATCATGAAAATGTAAAAATGTAAAAGGAAAAAGGCAAGAGCTGCTGAGGTCAGGCTGGGCTAGCTGCTACCAGAGTTCCCAATGGATGACTCTGCTTAACTGTTTAAAAAAGCTTCTAAAAAAACGCTGTCTACAGGAGGAAGCAAGAGAACCACGTGCCTCATCTACATAAGGATTTTTCAGCTTTTAACCCTTGCTTAACTCTGCTTGAGTGTCAGACTAAAGTCAGACTAAATTCAGACTAAATAAAGTCAGACTAAATGAGGCACATCGTTCTCCGGCCTCCTCCTGTAGAGGGCACTTTTTAGAGGCTTTTTAAAGCAGTTAATCACTAAGCAGAGTCATCCACTGTGACTCTAGCAGCAACTACCTCAGCCTTTTTCCTTTTACATTTTTTTTTCTTTTCATGATGACAGTGGTGAGGCTCTGCCTCCCCTGCCTCCCCTGACTGCACATCACGCTCTGGTGAAGGGAATTCCTTGCGTGCTTTGGCTTTTTCTCTGTGCTTTTCTTAAAATCCAGTATATTGTTGCCTATCTTGATCATGAATCAAGGTCTTTGCAAAGAATGTTTGTCTGAATATTTCCATTTGGAGTTCAAATGTCAAGTGAATGGTCCAAATTCATTCCAGAAGTCAAAGAGCCAAATCAGAAAGTCCAGAGTTTTAAAGATTCAAAAACAGGGAAACACAGGAACAAGAATCACATGCTTGAATTTTGAAAAGAATGAAGGCTGAAGTCAAAGCAGCTACATAAATCTATCTGCAGGCAGTTGACTACAATTACGTAGGCCTTGCATTTTGCCTAATGAGAAGCCTCATGGGGGTTGCATTGCTCTGCTCTGCTCACCGTTGCATGCATGAAAATCTGGAGCTTAGGTGTCATAGCTAATCATCTGAGTGCTCCAGCTGATCAGGAGGTGCCTATCATTGATCCACTTCAGATGCATCATGACTTGATGATTCCTGAAATTGACAATGTACAAGCTTATCTGGACCAGTATTGTCAGAATCAGATTTTAAATCATGCCCCCTGATAGAACAAGTTTACAAAGATTTCCATAAAATGTCTGTTATTTGGGAGAAAGGGCATCATTTTTACTGCATTTTCTTTAACCTGTAGCTCTTTTTTTTTCTTCTTTGCAGCACTTGGCGTGGGCAACTATGTATGCGAAACGTGCAATATCAGCCTCACATCCATAGAAATGTACCAGTCACACATGCAAGGAAATAAGCATCAGATTAAGTAAGTGTTTTTCTGGCCCTTCATTAGTGACTGAGGAGCTGTGCTGAGACTTCAGGAATACAGTATGAGTATGTGGATACTGAGCAAAACAAAGATTGATGGTTAGAATTGCAGAGAAAGAATGTGAACAAACTTTATCACTAGAAGTCAAGTAATGTTCCTTTGCCCTTGAAATGAAGGTCTTGTCTTGAAGGCTGGATGCAACTGCTTTTCTGTGGAGTTCTTTTTTTCCATAGGACCAACATTAGGAAAAATGTTTTCTAAGGAATTTTTTCTTTCTTTAAATAAATATTTAATATTCTCTAAATATTTTGGAGTAGAACTCTTATCATTAACCGTAATGTAGTGCAACAATATTTGGAGGTTTGCAGGGAACATATACTCCCCTCTTGATATTTTCTATAGCTGATATTCAGACCTACCTTTCGCACATGATGCAGTAAGAGTCTCACAATGGACACATTTGTGAGGCAAAACTATCAGCTTGGCTTACAGTTGTCCAAAATAATAAGTGCAACAAATTATAAGAATCAAAGGCAACCAGAAAAATAATTGCCCAAGAGTCGATTGAAATTGAGCAGCTAATAAATTCAAATAAATGAATGCTGGAAGTGTGTGTGTTTGTATGTGTGTGTTTGTGTTTGTACATTTAAAAAACATAAATGCAGGAAATGTATCTCCCATAGTCAGGTAAATTGTTTATTTCTAGAAGTATGAATGTTCTATAAAGATAAATATTCTTTCTTCAATATCTTGAAAAATTAAACTACACATGATCAGGCTTGATTAATGTTAGGGGATGGAAACTATTAAGGAAGAAGGCAATGACAAACTGATACTATTGCCCAGAACATACGTTTTACATGTCCTTGAAATAACAGAAGTTGATTTCTATTCAAGCATATGGTAGACAATTACTCCCAAACTTTCCCTCTAGCATATAGTACAGCATATAGAGAGTCAGTTTGGTCTAGTGGTGAAGAAGCCAGGCTAGAAAGCAGGAGAATGTGAGTTCAAGTCCTGCCTCATCCATGAAAGCCAGCTGACAGGTCATTTTCTCTCTCAGTCCAGCTCACCTCAAAGAGATGAAGAAGGGAGGAGGGGGAAGGTGTCAATGGATGCATTTGCCAGCTTGAGTAATTTGTAAAAATAATAAAGATGAGATTTATAAAATTAAGAGATAACTTATCTAGAGGACACTAAATTAGAAAAGGTGAAGAACTAAATCCTATTATAGAATTGTACTACATAAGCCTCAGGAGTGGGATTAATGATACTAAATAGCATTAAAGCCATTAATACATTCTCATACTTTATTTATTATTTGTTTTAGAGAAAATCTGATTGCCTCTTCTCTGATGAAGAATTCCAATAATACAAACAGTTCATTCCAAGATGAATTGGCAGATTACATCAAAGTACAAAAAGCAAGAGGACTGGAACCAAACATTAATTTTAGAAAGTCCGAGCAAAAAATGTGTGAAGCGATTAATGGTCATGAGGAGACCTTTGCATCTGACCAAGGTTTTCTTTCAAGAAATGTTTATGAACCAAGTCAGCATTCCACCTTTTTTCCAGAAATGGACACATTTTCATATTCTGTTGGAAGCAGATCGCCACACCCACCAGTGCAAAAATACCCAGTAAAGCTAGAAAACGTATGTACGTACAGCACAGACAATGATTCTGAAAAGCCTCAGTTAACTAGCTACAGAAATGACAGCTACAAACTACTATCAGCCGAATCTACTGATAGCTACAAGTCTTTGTTTTCAAAGAATAGCTCTAGTGCTGACAAGGGAAGCCGTAAGCTGCCAAAGAAACCAAGAGCCAAAAAAGGATGGCCACAAGAGGGAGAAAGAGATCGTTCAACTCTTAAAAGAGCAGGAGACAATCAAGAGTTGGAAAAAGATGGTAAGAAGAAAAAGAAAAAAAATCATATAGATTCAATAGCTGGGTCAAAATCAAAGCACAGTAAAGTAAAGACAAGCAAAGATCATTCTTCTGAAAAGAAAAGCAAAAGACACAAGAAGGAGAAAAAGAAACATGAAACCAGTGCAATTACAGAAGAGGACATGCTGTGGAATGAATCTGTCTTGGGATTCTAATTAATTTTCTGTTTGTTGTTGCTTGAAGCTTGACAGTTTTTTTAAATATTTTATTTACTGGCTATTTTTAAAGTTGCTACTTCAGAAATAATGAGTGAAGGAGATGGAAATCATTAGGGAAGAAATTGAAGAAATTCTCCAATATGATTTGGAGTATCATTTATATTCAAAAATGCTTCTATCCAGAACAAGACTGAATATGCCAGAAAATATTTCATATTTGATACAGAAGCATATAACTTCTTAAGTTCCCTTAAGTACATATTGTTGTAAACTTTAACAGAGAATATAAAAAATATGAGGTGGGGCTGGATTGTACCCCAAAGTAGATATTTTTTTTCTTCCTTGCAGATAATAAAGAAAAAAAAACATAAGAGATAATTTGGTTAATGTTTTTCCTCAAGGTCAAACTCTACTTTTTTTGAGACCACATTGATGGAGTGCTCCTATATTAGCTTAATCTAGGCAAATTACGTTAACCATTGTTTTAAAAAATTATTGCGGCAGGCTTTATTTAACAGCAAAAGGAATATATAATTCCCAATAGTTTTTTTTTCTGAAATGTTTAGGCATTCAAGGATTTTTAAATGTAGTTATAATGATTTTTTAAAAATAATAGTCAGACACTTCCCCCCCCCCCGCCAAGTGTTCAAATTCTTTCTCCATATTCCCTGGCAGATTGTAAAAATAAGGCCTTGGAAAGTATTGCAGACTGAGCCCTTGTTTGAAACATGTTGGGGAGCCATTTTAAAGCAATTTGGATATAATCAGTTGTATCTACATTTCTAGTTTTTTCTTACTGTAATAATAAGATGTAAAATCACATGCTCTTTATAAGTTATAGAAAATTTGAGTTCAAACATGAACCGCCTTGCACATTATGTAAATAACAGTGATATGTCATCTGATCAGTCACTTCTATTGCTTTTGGAGAGGAATTGGAGAACAATCAGCAAATTTCTACAATGTTAGAATTTTCATCAATAAAAGCAATAACACGTATATTAGAATGCGCGTTATTTAGTGGGTTTCCATACTGTGTTTATGAGCTTTTCTCCACATTTAACCATTGAAACAGCAGGAAAGTATGTCCAACCTGCATTGAATTGTCTTCTCTGGCTCAACTACTGACTATCAATATATTTTAACAAGACGGAGAATCAGTAAACTACTTATGATTTTGAACCTGAAGCAGGAGGCAAGAGGAGAGCACAATATTGTTTAAATGGAATTTTGCAGCCTTAAAAGGCAGTAGGTAAGCCAAAGGCAATTGCAAGTAAAACGCCTGAGAGAATATTCCCAGATTTTTTAGGGGGAACAGATTCATATGGCTCTGCTCTTGATTCAACAAGACATCACAGAAGGATGATGATGAAGAGAACACAAATAAGGTCAAATGGAATTATTTAGACTTTGTTTATTTTTAAGGAGTTGGCTTCATTACTGATTTTGTGTATCTTCTGGAAGACTAAATAATTAAGAAAAACTACACGAGTCATTTGACTGTTAGGAGATGCTCCCCTCAATTAAAATATATGGTCTATTAATAAGTTCAGGTGGGCTCATTGACATTTATCAAAAGCAAGCTAATTTGTTATTACTAAATCCCATGCACGATTTTACTGTATTTAGTATCAAATTGATAACTTCAATGAAGATGAACTGATGATTCTACAAAGAAAAAAGGAAATGAAATATCTAAGGATGACACTTTTCTCAAATTGATTTAACAGTGACACCTGTATAATTCTTGGTGTAGTACTCTAAACCTAAAGCCACTCAGAGTTGCTCCAACATTGAGATGGGAGATGCATAAATTTAATTAATAAATACATTTAATTAATAAATGAGAGATAGCTGGAAAATTGTAGAACTAGTTTTAAAGCACCCTGACGCAAATCCTCTCTGTCATGTATTCAGCAGAAATTACGATTTTTGAGAAAATAACCCAAGATTGCCAGATTTTGTGAGGATTGTAGATATTTTGGCTACCTTCTGTTTTGAGTATTGCAATGCACTCTGTCAGGAACACTTGAAAAATGTGAAGAAGTTGCAGTTGATGTAAATGTGGTTGTTGAACTGTCCACTGCAACAAATGTGGACCTGATGACGTATGTACAAAAATATTGTATGATTGCCATTACAGCTTGGATATGTTCTTGGACACATTCTCATGATACAGGCTTTATTACCACCCAGCCCATGATGCAGGTAGACCACATTGGTTATTATTTATTCTGTTATTATATATTTTAAAATATTTTTCCATGTTCTCTCAACTTGTTTTAATGTGCATATTGTCTGTCATACATCTTGATAATAAAATAGGCAAAACTTGTATCTGCAGAGCTATAGACTGATTGAGGCTACAGAAATGTGCTCCTCCCACCAGGATTCTAGATCCTACCTCTGTGGCTAGAAAAATCATCTACCTGGTCTTAGAATCATAGCATCATAAGACAGAATTGACCTTGGAGATCTTCTAGTCTACCCACTGCCCAAAGCAGAAGTCATGATTCTATCACATCGAAATGATTGCCCAATCTTTTCTTGAAAACCTCCATTAAAACCCATTATCATCTTTGTTGCTTTTCTCTGCACTCTTTCTAGGGCCTCAGAATCTTTTTATGTATCATGGTGGATGCAGTGTTCCAAGTGTTGTCTTATTAGTGCACAATATAGAACATCACTATCACTTCTTGTGATCTTGATGCTATCCCTCTGTTGAGGCAACCTAGGACTGTGTTGGCTTTTTTGGCTGCCGCAGCACACTGCTAACTCATAGTTAAGTAGTGGTCCACTAGGACACCTAGAGCCCTCTCACGGGTTCTAGTGTTGAGCCAGGTACTGCCTACTCTGTAGCTGTGCATTATTTTTTTCTGTCTAAGTGCAGTATCTACTGTAACTTCTTTTTCAACCACTGAATTGCACCTTGCTGGATAGGGCCTAATGCTCACATCTGCCAAGACCCTTAGAATCTATCTTCCAAAGTCTCAGCAATTCCCCCTATCTTAGTGTCATCCACAAATTTGATCAGTGCCCCTTAATTTCTTCATCTACATCATTTATTACTTTTATAACCTGGCAGATATATATGTCACTTACTGATTAGATGAGTTAAATATTGCCCCAAATAAAATTGTTCTATTTATAAAATGAAGAGAAAGCTTGCAGTGATAATTTCTGTAAGATTTTTGTTTTGTTGATCCCAAGAGTTTTCAAGGATGTACTCTATCCCACAATAAAATGGTTTTACTAAAGAAGCATGCATTCCCAGTTACACCACTGTGTACCTGAACAAGAGAATCATCTGCCCCAGGAGGACTAATAGATTAAAAGCAGTAATGATCAGACATATCATAAGGCAACACTTGATGGAGACTGCAAAGTGCCCACAGAGATACAATATCAAAACAGAAAACAGGCAAAGCAAAAGTGATTCTCCTTTCTCAGCATAATGGAAAGAATCCTATGACAGTATTTGACTAGCCAATTGGCTTATTGCTTCGTGCCTAGATTTGAAATGACCATAATATTTCTTAATCTACAAACTAGATAGATTACGTGATAAATCCTCTTATTCAAAAACAAAGAACAAGAGCTTACTTTTTCCACTGACAGTTTACAAAGTTTGTGGTGGGAAGGCATGAAATCCAGCCTAGCACCACCTGGGTAATGTTAGATGGGGCATTGCTGCCTTTCTCAACCTTGGTGGGGTTTCATAGTCCCACTAACCAAGCTTGAGGTTTCCTGTTATTCTGCAAACTTCCTGTCTTTATTTTACAGCCTTTTGTAATCTATATTATAAAGAACAATTTGGGGGCATTGAAAAAGAATACTACCCCCAGTCATAGCTTCAATAGCTGTGAGGAGGATTTAATAAGAATACTACTAATAATATAACAACAATAACCACAGCTGCTAATTAATAGCATGTCTTTCTGCATAAATGTAATTCTGAAAGGTATCCTTTGCTGGCCATTATCCTCATTTTTTAAAAAAAAATATTCAAGTCAAATGTAAATAAAGCTCCCTAATAAATTTATTGATATAAATGCTAAAAGACTGTGAATCAAAATGTAATATCAGATTCAGGAATTATATGGCACATTCTTACAAATAAGAATTCTTTAATTTCAGTTTTAAGGATCTTTATTGTGTTAATACCACAATATACCACCTCAGAACAAAAATAAAATGCCTTTGAATTTTCAAACTCAAAGGTTTACACATTTAGGATAAAAAATATGAAAAGTTTATTTGACTTCACACTCAAGAATTCCAATCCACATGCAGAACCAGTCTATAATATATTCTGCCAAAGCTATCCCAGCAGATTTATCCAGATGTCAGAACTTTGTCTCTTTACAAGGATTATGGGCTGAAGATTTTTCTAGACAAGATTTGTCAAACAAGATTGCCAGATTCTGTCTGCCAGATTCAAGTTGTACATGTATTTTCACTCATCAAATATTGTTCCATCAACAGGAACAAAATAATTGTTATATTCCTTTATGAATTCAGAGTTGAACATTCAGATTAAACATTCATGGGATCTCAGTACATGCTGCTTTAAATATTTTTTTAAAAAAAGAAATCCAGAATTGTCATTGAATTTTTTTCAAAAGGAATAGTATCAACAAGCTAACTTCAAAGATGTCTGAACATTTCAATGTTTAGGATTGTCATATTGCTGTCCTGTCCTAAGGTCTGGTACTGCTTAGCTGCTGGATAATTATTCCTTTTGGAAATTCCACATAAATAACAAATTGCATAAATTGGAGTTCTCCCGGGGGATGCTGATGCATCTGAGTCATGATCAGGCATTGGTAGCTTTAAATAAAGATTTCTTGACATAAAATTGGAAACAGAATAAATCAATATATCACTTGGAGCTCAGTTGGGGGCATAGTCAATTTCATTTTAAATCAGCATTACATCTGGTTCAGTTCACAATAACAAACTCTGGAGAGGCCTTTACACTACTACAATGTAATACC